AGCTCCATTGCTAACTCTGCCTGTATATTATTTCAAGTATATATATGAGTATTATTTTAAGATAATAGCAGATTGTACAGTACAAAAAACAACTTATATGATTGACTAATTTATATTGACCAAATATACACGTTATTCTGTAATTCCCATTAGCATTTTCGTTCAATAAATAACAAAAATACAACTCAATAGATAAGCATTTATTGGATTTTATTTAATAACTGACAAAAATAGGTATCAATTGTTAAATATTGTAGGGAATGATGCTAAAACATAGATGATCATAAAACAAAGCATTTAATTGGTTAGAGTTAGGTTCATTAGCCAATAGGATTTTTTTTTTTGTTATTAAGGCCACTTCTTTAGCTGATTAAATTTTTGTTAGTTTGTTATTATAGAACTATTACATGAATAGTTTCCTAAGATTTTACAGTTACATGATTAGTGTACAACAAGCTATACGTACAACTTTAGTCATTGTCTAATTTAATTAGTTTGCCATACAGACGATTGACTATTTGTTGGTTCTACACTATGCTGCTATACCTGCAACCCACCTGTGAGTTACCTATTTAAACACTCTAATCATTAACTTTTCTCCCTATTCCAAACTAATATCACTACTATGACCAACTACTTACGCCAGCTAGTTTACTTGCAGATCCATTTCTCTGCATAGCTTAGGTCCTCTCAGGATATGTATGCCCAACGTATTATGAGCTGCAGAGCTCCGGTTAACCTCGAAAGTAATTTCTACCAGAGTGGTCATGTGCCCATTTCACAGATTCACCTGGATTAAACCCTTGTCAATATTCGTACAAACCCAGTTCCTGCTGTGGCCGTCTACCAGATATAGTCCTCCAAGTTCCAGTCAGATATTTCACAAGGTAGATCCTTCCAATCTAGTTAGCTACCAAGCCAAGTTGGTGTTGTCGCTAATGCAAGGCACTAGGCTGTGTTACATAGTGGACTTACTCGTACTTATCAATCTCACATCTTTCGTACTCAGGTTTTTTACTGGATCAGGCATTAACTAGCTTGACTGTTGAAATTCGTACTACTTCACCAAACTCGGGATTTCTACCATGCAGGTCCTCTGCTTGTAGATTCTATCAAGATTTATTTGCATAATATAACTCGAGCATTGCATTACACTTCCAATGTCTAATTGACATTGGTATAACGTGATTTACAGGGTTGTAACCTCCAGAAATGAGCAGAGTTTACCATAAGTTGGGTACAAAGGTCTAGGTAATTATTCAAATTCGTCGACAGTGGGATTTGAACTCCAGATCTCTTGTATGGTGGTCTGGCAACCTAACCACTACACTAAGATCACTAGACCTGCCAATAGAATTTTTATATTTCACGGTCATTCATGTTTCAGCATCATCCCCAACAATTATTTATTAATATATTTAATTTCAATGAATAGCATAATTATTGTTAACTCTGCCTTAAGATATATCAGCTGAATTGTTAATCTCCCTAATACATGTGCAAGTTTTGTGGTGTAGATTTCCAAACTATAAATCAGGTTTTAAGATCAGATGCAATGTGATACTGCTAGAAAGATTCAAAAAAATATCGTATTGTCAAAACTCTCTTATTTTTCAAAACTATGAATAAGAAACTATCATCAGTACTCTAAAAAAAAGGTTTCTTCGAGTAAGTTTACTGTATAATTTGCTAATATCTAATACCATTGAACTTTGTGAATTTTTGTGATTGCACCTACAATTTATTGCATAATAAATAATAATTATTATTTTGTAATCTTAGAATTTTATGAGTATTGTAAATATTATTATAGTCCCAAAAATAGTAATATGCAGGGTTTATGAAATTATAAACTTCTATGACCACATTAATGCATTTTATTTCAAAATAATGCTTATAACTTACTGTATAGTCATGAAATAAATAGACATTAGCATTATTTAAACATAGTACCCTATGAAAATAGTGTAAATAATCTCAAAATAACATCTATACATATTTTGAAATAATGCATACCCATATAAGTTTTAACTAGGTAGAAGCAAGTACATAATAATTTAAAAGAAGGTTCTGAAAAATTATCTTTATCTCAAAGTAACACTTATATGTATACTCTAAACAACATATATATACTCAAAATAATATACAAGTAGGCATTATTTCATGACAATACAGTAATTAAATTAGATCTAGTTACTGAGGAATGCATTATTGTTACTATAAGTTCTTGAAACAATGACATATTATCTTGAATATCTGCGCGTTATTCCAGGTATACACATAGGCATTATTCTGATTAACATAACAAGTTCTACAACAATAAAGTATGAACTTTTTGTTGCATTAGTTAATTTTTGCAATTGATTTACTAATATATTAACATTATAAATGTGAAGGTTCTTCACAGAAGTATTTTATTGTGAAGGTTAAAAAATATATGCAGAAATGCATATTATTTCAGAATATGCATGAGTGTTATTTTAAAATTATGAAGGTTTGATTTTTGAAATAACATCCATGCCCAATATTTTAAAATTTAAAATAGATAAATTCAAGAAATAATTTTTATAAATAAGCCTACTTTTTTCTTTGCTATTTGAATCTATCGTTTGTAAACTTAGATATTTTATTAATATGTCTTCAACTATTGCTACTACTCATTATGCTTCAGATATATGAACTTTTATTACCAAATGATTTAATGACAATGGTATCCTTATTGGTTATTCTTGTAAATTATGTTCATCTAGTCAAAAATATTATTCGCCTAGCTGTGCTATAACCACATTATATTGTTATCTACAAAAAATATATCTTGAAATCTACAGTACAATAAAATATACTAAAAATGAATTAATTTAAATTACTCAATACTTTATTAACTGGATAATCTCAGATATTCAACCTTTTTCTGTTGTTGAAAATTTCTATTTTTGCAAATTTATTGATCTACTTAACCCCAAATATAAAATACCAATGCATCAAACTGTTAAAAACATTATCAGTAAAAATTTTAATATTCAATAGTCAAAACTTTGTAAAGATTTTGTAAAATGTATTCTGAAAAAAATTGCATTAACCACAGATATTTGGTCATCAATAGTTAATGAATTATATCTATCATTAACTGCACATTATATTACTTCAGAGTGGAAATTAAAAAAGATTCTTTTAGATATAATTCCTTTAAATAAAAAACATACTGTATTATATATTGCTACCCTTTTGCAGAAAGTTTTAAACGATTTTAATTTAAGCAATCATGTAATAAGTTTAACAACAGATAATGGAACCAACATAGTAGCATGTTGTTCTCTATTAGCAAATGAATTAGACAATAAATTCAATAGCTTAGGCTTTTCATACTATCGTTGTTCAGCTCATATAATTAATTTGGCTATTCAGCAGGGTCTAAAAGCTACAGGATCAGAATTAAAAAAACTTCGTAAATAGGTTAGTAAACTTAAAGAATCACTACGTCTAACTGATAAGATACAAAAAATTTGTGCATCAAAAAATATTGAATATTTATCACCAATAATCGATATTAGTACAAGATAGAATTCTACATATCTCATGATTCAACGACAGCTAAAAAATCAAGATATAAGTGAGGTTCTTTTTGTTAATAATAGGCAAGCTCTAATAGATATTTACCCTAATGAAAATGAGTAGATCCAGTTAAAAAATCTTGAACAACTTCTTCAACTGATGTATGAAGCTACGAAATTACTATCAACCTCAAAGCATCAACAATTAGTAATATGCATTTGGCGTTTCTTGAAATGTTTGATATATTGAATAATTTTATTAAATACAATTTCTAAAAAGAGGTTGCATAATTAATTTATAAAAAATTAATAAGTTATTAGAAATTAGCTTTAGATGAAATATCTATTTTATCAGCAGTTTTTGATCTGTAATCTAAACTTACGTCCTTTATTATTGAACAACTTGATAATGTCAAGCAAAAATTACAAACCATTTTTGCTATATATCAACAAACCAATAATCATTTGTTACACTCAAGTTAACAACATTCAAATCAACAACCTTTATCACATCTATATTTTCAAAATATTTTAAGTAAAAAATTATATTTTCCAACTCACTATGTTAATGAAATATCCCATTATCTAAATAATGCCTCTGAATTTAATACAGATCCATTATTATGGTGAAATTTACATCAATTGGAATACTCAATATTATCAAAGATAGCATGTGATTATCTATGTATACAAGCTACAAGTGTAGCATCTGAACAAGAATTTTCCTTGGCTGATCTTACAATTAGTAAAATATGAACATGTTTATTACCAGAAACTGCACAGGCTAGTTTATGTTTAAAAGATTGGATAGCAGGTGAGTATAATAAAATTCAAATTGATAAAAATGATTTGAATACTGTTATTGGTAAACACTATAGAGATTAATGAAACTCAAAAAAAAAAAAAAATATTTTACTAATCTTAATGATAAAGAGAAATAGTTAAAAAATTATTTTTTTAAAATTATTTTTTTAAAATTTTTTTTTTAATTTTTTTTTTTAATTTTTTGGCTTTTTTTTCAAATTTAAATTCTTTATTTTTTTTTATTAATATATATATCAATATAAGATAAATATATTTAGATTATTCTTGGTTTTATTGTGTTTGATATGATATTATCTATAGGTTTTTATTTCTAGTATTTAACATAATAAATATATCATTGTAATAGATTGAATTCATATATTTCGTATATAAATCGGGTTCCAATAACAATTTTTAGTAAAGTTTTTTTTTCGAAGAGAACATCTTTTAGCTATTTTTTGGAAAATATATCGGTCATTATGATATGTACATATGGCAGAATTAGTCACGTGCGATCTGAATCTCACATGATAATGAAAAAGACCAATTTGGACCGATCTTGGATCAGATCGACGGACCAATTTAACATCCCTACTTATATATTTAGTTACTAAATGTAACATACGGATTTTTTATTGCTTCAAAATGTCAAAAAAAATAACAAATATTCATACCAAAATAACTAATAAGTATAATCAATCGAATTTAAAAGATAATAAGTCACAAGATTTTCTTGGAGAAATTGTTAAAGAGTTGTGTAATCTGTATAATGAAGAAAGTTCTAAATTCAAAAGTGAAGAATTAATTTTTGAAATATTGGAACAATTTCTAGCCGAAAAAAAGCAAAATCCAGATAATATTATCAATTGGTGCTTGAATGATGAAATAAATCCTACAGTTCAACTTATTCTTGCAAAGTGTTATTATTTAGGTAAATGGGTTGAGGAGGATGACGATAAGGCATTCATTTATTGTCAAAAATCTGCTGATATGGGTCATGCTAAAGGAGTGTTTGAAATCGGTGATTGTTATTATTATGGAACTGGAGTTGAAAAGGATTATTATAAGGCATTCATTAATTATCAAAAATCCGCCGATATGGGTTATGCTCTGGGAACATACAATGTTTGTTATTGTTATACCGAAGGAATTGGAGTTGAAAAGGATGAAGATAAGGCATTTATTTATTCTCTAAAATCAGCAGAAATGGGAAATGCAGTTGGAATGTCAGATGTTGCTAAATGTTATCGAAATGGAAATGGAGTAACAAGAGACATAGAAAAAGCCAACTATTGGTATCAAAGGTAAACAAAAAGTTAATTAGATTTTTTGATAATAATTCACTTCATATTCACATAATAAATTAAATAAACAATTAGAGTGAAAAGTATAGCGGCGGCAGGTAATTTCCGTAGCTAATTCAATTTATGCAAAAACTTCTGGTTTTGAATTTATCATTTACCAGAACTCTGACTTATATGTCACCAATTA